GAATAATTCATACCAGTGGCGGATCCAGGGGAGGGGGCCGGGGGGCCCGGGCCCCCCCTTATTTTTTGTTTGTTGTGCGTGCTGAGGAAAAAATTTATCCGCGGGGGGGGTTGAGGGGGGGGGCCGGGGGGGCGCGGGCCCCCCCTTTTTTTTTGTTTGACCTCGGCCCCCAGGGGCGAAAAAAATTTTTTTTTTTGGGGGCCCCCCCCCCCCCCCCCCGCCTTATCTCAGGGTCTGGATGACCGCCCGCCCCCCACCCCGCCTCATTCGAAGGTCTGGATCCGCCGCTGCATACATACAACAAATTTACTTTCAACCTGGATCTCAATCCAGCGAGCAGTTATTTTTTATAATAAATTTGCATGGTAGTATTATAAATTCATCACTGTATATTGTACAATCGGAGTAAACACACACTGAACTGTTATTAGTCAATGCTAATAAACAGCACAGGCAACAAACGTCCCCAACAGAGATCTGAATCCAGATAGCATTTTATTTTAAATAAGACTATCTAAAAATGCAGATACAAAACCTTTATCTGTATCAGCTACAATAACTAATATTGTTAGTAAAAATACATCACTGCACATACGTAAATGACGTATAGTTTAAGGCTCATATTCACCATATTCAGTTTCACAATACTGAGTTGTGCGCCAGCTCATTTCATAAAACTGAGAAACTTGTGCCGCATCTAGATGCATTCTAAATCTTGCCAGAGCTAAGTAAATCAGCATTAATATCGGAATAAACGCACTGAACTGTTATTAGTCACTGCTAATAAACAGTGCAGCCAAAAAAAATTACTCTGAACCTGAATCTGAATTCAGAAAGCTACCGTAGTTTTATATTTTTGCGAATCTAAACTTGCATGTAGGAATAATCCCATCTGCCTTACTTCAATAAAAAAAAAACATAGATTTCAAATGTAGCATCTTGAATACGTCCGTATTACTTTATACGTAAGTTATGTACAGTCTAAAACGCAATTTACCGTATTGTACAATGTTGATTTGTTTGCCAATCCATGAAATCCACATTTTCTTGACAATATTACAGATAAAATCACTCTGTACTTGCCGAAAGCGCGCGTGTACACTGTCCTAGCGAGACCGATCAACAAAACGTACGATCATAGAAATATCAACAAATACCCAGAACTGTTATTAGTCATTGCTAATGAACAGTTCATAAAGTCGTGCTCACATGCTCATGTTCATAATATTGTACAATACCGATTTGTTTGCGAGTTCAAGTAATTAGAATTTCTGTGCAAAATGTAAAAAACTGCTCTGCACTTGGAAGCCGGTATCTTGCCTAAGTGAAACGGCTTACAAAAAGGAAAAACGGAGTAATATCACCAGACACACTAGACTGTTATTAGTCACTGCTAATGAACAGTCAACTGTACCAGGTAATACAAGGGTAAGCCTCACTATGGGTACCCTGAGGACGTCACACTGGACTGTTATTAGTCACTGCTAATGAACAGTCAACTGTACCAGGTAATACAAGGGTTAGCCTCACCACGGGTACCCTGAGGACGTCACACTGGACTGTTATTAGTCACTGCTAATGAACAGTCAACTGCACCAAGTAATACAAGGATAAGCCTCACTATGGGTACCCTGGGGACGTCGTTTTCGTCGCGTCGCGCGTTTTCCATCAACTCGTCGGTTGTTGCTGCAAACACTTCACGGCATAGCTAGCACGAGTCGAAAAACTATGCATAATTAAGTTTTGAACCATAATATCGGAAACAGCAAAGTTAACTTTTCTTGAGTTCAGTCGAGTACGTTTACAGTGTAGAAAGCTTTATAAGAAAAAAACTAAGCACTCCTAAGTTGAGTAACAAACCAGGAGCCCATTTCTTTTGAGGCGTCCCCGAGGGGGACCTCCCGCGTAAAAGTGACGGGGATGTTCGTCGTTTCGCTTAGGGGTAGGAATTGCGAATTTTGATCTCACTTAGGGTGGCTAGGACGAAAAGCCAATATTTTTCATTGAGATAAAGATATCAGTAAGGGCAAGACGTGTTCATTCTCATAGGGCTGTGCGCAACGAAATATCTAAATGAAAAGGCCAAACACCACAAGACTTTGTTGAAGTAAAGTCTCGTTAACCGCTTCAATTATAATTTTCCGACGAGCATTCCCGTCCCTATTATATGGGAGTCAACCCCCTCCCTCCCCCGGCCGGTTGGCATTCAAAAAACGTGAGAATGCGTCACTAAGGCGTTTCGCTTATTATTAAATTTCTTTTCTCCGGAATTCACTTCGTTCAAAAACGATTGCTTGATCTAAGATGGGAGTTGATGTCGAATCCTCATTGGTCCTTACTTAATCGTTTCTTCAAACAAATCAACACAGTAAACACTCTTCGGCTGAAAATTCGTTGATCTCATACGTCATTAATGGAAATTCTACTCTGCTCTCATTGGATGAAAAAACTTGAACATCCAACACGCTGTGACCCAGGCCTCAAATGAGTGATGGACTCCTGGTTTTACCCACGATAGTCACGTATCGCATGCAGTGTGTACGCTAAGAAGTACAAAAATCGGCTGTTGATTTACTTAACGTAATTTGGGTATCCCTGTGTTTTGGGTCACTTCGTATTTAAATACCTCGTGATGTTAGTTTTTCCATCATTTCAGGTCAGTATTGCGAGTATCCCCGAAATTCTATCGTTCGCAGGGTAACCTGGGTAGCAAGCGTGATCCATCCAAGCGACGCGCCCGCCCGGATCATACCTGCCACTCAAGCTACTCAAAGTATTTCGTACCTTGAACAGGAATTCCGGCAAATAAAATAGCCTTGTGTGATGTTTAAAGGTTGCCTTATGTGATTAGTTTGCAAACCAAACGATACAGTAAAAACCTGCATATAAGAACCTTAAGATTTAAGAACCTTCAGGCTGAAATTTGGCATTTTAATATTCAAGTTTATAAGAACCTGTTCAGCCTGGCGAGGAAAAGAGGTTCTTATAAACACAAAAGGTCACCCCAATTTCGATTATCAAAATTCTGGATGTTTAACTGTATGTGAAACCTCTAACAATATGTTATTGTGTACCTGCATTCTTTAATTATTTCAATTAACATGATGCGCACAATATAAATAGCCTAAAATGTTTTGTTCCGTCAGCAAGCATTCCGACTATTATTATATAGTAAAATCCAACGAGTGGTCTATTATCAATGTTGCGTTCTGATTGGTTGAGCTACTACTAGGCTATATGTTATAGTCCACTAGTAGCGAAGAGCGCTCGATTTTTGGCGGCAAAAAGGGATCAAAGTCTGGCTTTAACTAGCTTAAAGTTGTTTTGTCTCGATATTTTTGACCAACTAGTTGATTTTTAGCCTCATGAGCTATTGACTCAGAACCCATTCGGGCTCGAGGAATAATTGTTAATTAGCTTGGCAAGCATTCGTAGTAGTGTTTGTTATTTAAACTATGTACTAGTAGTCTAATATTCTCTGAATGACTACGCTACGACAAAATCTGAAAAATTAAGAACCTATTGACCCTTTAAACCCTGAGATCAAAATTGAGATTCTCACTTACTGTCCCTATACGTTTTCAATAGAAGTAGTGGGGAGAATTTGTTGAAATATTAATTAAGCTGATCTTCCCCGATCATTTACTCAATTCTCATGACAACTCTGTTTTGTAAAGCATTGATACTATAAGGAGAAATTTCATGCTGATCACTCTTAGGGCTCAAAGGGTTAAGAACTTAACCAGCCTGATTTGTCAAAAAGGACCCAGAAATATAAAAACCTGTTCAGCGTGATCTCGAAAATTTTAGGTTCTTATATGCGGGTTTTTACTACACTGCATGCAAACGTGAAAGATTTGAAGGCTGGTGGTTTTTGTCTGTATGATCACTAGCACTGTGTATGATCGCAGTAGCCAGTTCCTTTTAAAACACGGTTTCCAGTCTGACTTTGTCTTGAAGATCTATTAGTGAGCTGGTGGTTGACCGTTGTGAAATAAAAATTACATTACAATTCAATTCCACTTTTTTTAAGGACATCGCAACTAACTGAAATAATAAAAACATTATAAAGAAGTGAAGTTGTAGAGCCGACCAAGGTAGGATCAGTGTTTTCACCCTGCACATCATCAGGGATTTGAGCGCGGAGTTTCATGGGGGTACTTAAATCGGGGAAACAACCAAAATGGGAGACACTTAGTTCAGGGTGACACCAAAATACGGGGATATTAGGGGGTATCCGTAATGCGAGGATACTTAACTTAGAGGGATACACAAAATGCGGGATAACAAAGGGATATTTTAAATACGCGAATACCTAAATGATTGTCGCACAGGTGGTAGTGGTTCAATTAGTGTCCAGGTCTCTTCGCACTTTTGGTGTGGTGGGCAGGGTTCCGTTTTTCACTCTTCATCAAATGTCACTCCCTTTTCTTACGGTTCTGCCTCTGTACTTTGGCGAAATTCAAACAGCAAACCATCAACCAAGGTCTAATGAAGAAGTCAAACAGCAACGGATTAAAAATAGCGTAGAGTTAGTGATGGTGAAAATGGTAGCCATGAATGCTTTGCGAAAACAATGGTGTGTTTCTAATTTCCTACTAACCTCAGCGCGATTGAAAAAGTCATTACTTTAGCCAAAAGCGCACGTGAAATCGTCCTTCTAGAAGGAAAATTATGCAAACAGAGAAATTCCTTGTTTTGTCTAACCTGCGATCAGGAGTTTCCGAGTATAGTCCTTTTCCGCACTCCTCCAAAACAAAAGGAAAGAAGGATCGCCTGATCGCAGGTTACGTTTTGTCCTGATCTTCTCGCACCCCGCGGAAGAATTGAAAGGCTGGTACTGGTCAAAAAAGTAGAGAGGATCTTTGTGCAAAGTAGCGAATGCGATGAAAGAATCGAAAGCTTCGCCAGTCCGCCTTATTTCATTACCCGACTTAACTTTAAGTGTGAATGTATTTTCCACGGAAGTACGGTAAAACCTCAATATAACGAACCTCTTTAAAACGAAACAACTCTATTTGTTCTTCAGTGAGCTCCTCAATAGGGCGGTTTTTACAGAAGTCGTAATCAGTCAGACCTTCTTTTTCTCCTATCATCTCTAGATGGCTTAAAACAGCACCGGTAGCTACTGATGACAACTCTGACACAAATCTGAAAACTTCAAAAACGTCGTTGAACCGTTTAAGAGAGTCGACTTTAGATAAGCAGTTGAAGGTTTCCTTGGCATTTTTTAAATCACGAACTAAAAACGAGGCGGCAAGAAATTCTTGTACCGATTTATGGAGAAAGAACGCCAGTTTCTCAGGACGAGGAGATTTTGAAAGATTAGAAGTCTGCAGAAAGCCAAAATCGATAAACTTGTCAAGGAATAACCGAATGTCCTTAGGCACATTGCTGAGCTTGAAATAAAGACAGTCATTTAAAAGTGCTTGCCAGGCAAGTTCCCCTAACTGTGCCAGGTGTTCTCTGTATTCATCAATGTTTCTAAACTTCTCATCTGAGGCTTTTGCGGTCACGTGATCAAGCAGCGTCTGACAAAAACTGTTATACAGATTTGCGCGGGATGTTGATGGTCCTTGATAATCAGAAACCTCCCAGGTTAGAACCAACATTAACAGCAGAAGAGGTATTTCCGCCAAGTCCCACAGGTCGCGTTCACCCAAGAAATCCATGAACTTTAATACTTCTGTTTGGTCGAGAAGAATCTTAAAAGCAAATGTTTCAACTTGCCACTGATCAAACCCATTAATTTCAAACTGAGCATGACTTCCTGGTCTTAACTCATCTTTTTTCCGAGGTCGGGTAGTCACAAGAAGAGTACAATCTCTCAATTGACTGCCTTTCCAAATCTGATCGACTGGCGATGATCTTTCGGCGCTATATTCATCATAACCGTCTAAAATAAGCAGGACTTTCTGTTGGTTACGGAGAATGTAATCACACAACTGACTGAACACCATGGGGTTATCAGCAGACAACAGTTCTGCCTTTTTCAGCATGGCACAGAAGTCCTGCGTGTTGCAAACATCTCGGAGCTTGATTAAAAGTACAACAGCAAACTTGTTTAGGATTTCTTTATTACCTCGTGACCAGTCAACGGCGAGTTTCTTTGTCAATGTCGACTTTCCTATTCCTGGCCTCCCATACACTAAAATTCTCTTAGGAATTAGATGATGACCATGGCTTGCGAATAGCTCACTGTAATCTTGAAGCCTTTCTTTTGTTGTTCCAGCAAGTTTTCTGTCATCTCTTAGCAGTGTTAACTGTACATACACCTCATCAATGTCCATGGTATTACTTCGGTCCCAAGGAGTAATCATTAACTGGCTCGCGGTACTGTTGTAAAATGAGCAAAGCTGATTCTGACTCCACTCCAAAAAAGTAGTTGCAGCATCTGTTTATAAAAAAAGTAAATCTCTTTACAATTAAATCCTCTCAAACGCATTCAGCAGTAGAAAGTTAATTATACAAGTTTTGTGGTAGCACTGATAATGGTAGTAATTCTATTACGGCCATTTACATCTAGGCGTGAAATAAAAATAGAGCCTGATCTCAGGTTAACACTGGAGCAAGGTATCTTTATGCGTTAAGTTTATTACCAAGTCTTACACCACTGGTTTTTTAAAGTACCTTCTGTCGCGAGGCTGACATGTTGATCAATTTTTGAGATAATTATAGATTTCAAAACTTTTATACTACAGTTAGTTTACATTGTACTGGCCTCCCCTTCTTATTCAGTAATCAAAAATCAAAATGTCATGATTATTTTAACTCGCTCTTTGACTTTGGAAGCTGTGTTGTTCGGTGTTGTTGTTGTCCTTTTGTACTGTAAATTCGTTGCTCAGACTAAGGGTGGGAAAACCTTACTAATTTAACAAATAAGCTAAGGAACAGAGTGCAAGTAGTAGATAATTAGACAAAAGAACTTAATAGAGGAGAGGGAAGAGGGTCTTTATTCAATTAAATGGAACACATGTACTGTAAATGTTCGAATTAGCACCCGTCTTCAAATAAGTGCCTAAGTGCCCCCCCCACCCCCAAGTACAAAATAATTTTGCCCAATCATAAGCTAATGTACACGACACCTGTGATATGACAGTTCCAAAAACATAAACCATGATAAGAAAAAACAAACAAAAAAACCATAACCAACAACAAGAGAAAAAAGAGAAGAAACAAGAGAAAAACAACAAGAGGAAGGGAAAATAAACGGAAAATGTATCTTAAACTCGTAACATGTTGGATTGCACATGTACAATGTACATGTAGCATTAAACATTAAGGCCCCGTCCACACGAATCTGGATATTTCTGAAACTGAACATTTTCTTTATCACAAAACAGCCTTCCCTCAACACTGAACCAGTCAATCCGCTCAGTCATCCGTGGCCTATTCATGTAAAAAAATATGTGGTTTCAAAAAATATTTGGATTCGTGTGGACTGGAGCCATAAATTGGTACCTGAAGGACTTGGTAACTGTTCCTTTGATCTGCTGGCTGAGGTCTGCTCTGATATATCTTCAACAAAAAGAGATCTCTCACTTACATTCAAGAAATCTACTAGAAATAACTGCTACTTATAACCTAGAAGTGCATATCAAGACAAGTGTAGTTTTAACACTTACGGTACATTTGATTGGGAAATCCGGATTTAGATTTTGAAATCCGGACTTCGGATTTTGCAATCAAACGCGAAATCCGAAAACGGATTTAATCTCTGAGAACTCTGTCCTCAGGGTGAATCTGGATTTCATGGGTTTCCTTTTTACTGTTCGACTGGGAAATCCGAAAAAAGATTTGCAAAACTATTCTCATGAACATCGGTCTTCTTTTTGCTAATTATGCATGCACGTGCAAGACCACTGTTCTTAAGGACAGTTTGTCAAATCCTTTTTCGGATTTCCTAATCGAACGGTACAAAGGAAGTCCAAAAACAGATATCTCAAATCCAAAATCCGGATTTTAAGATCTAAATCCAGATTTCCCAATCGAAAGCACCCTTAAAAAAAGAAATATAGCTATGTGGTCAGCTCAATACGACTGCTGAAAAAAAAAACAAAAGAAAAACAGACTCATCAGAGAACACTTGGTGGTGGTTGTTAAACGTAAAAAAGTTCTTCTAATCTATACCTTATTTCACAACAAAATCCACAACTGTTTTTGTTCAGTTACTCTCACTTACATTCAAGAAATCTACTAGAAATAACTGCTACTAATAACATCACTAAAACTGCATAATATCAATACTAGTGTAGTTTTAACACTAAAAAACAAATATAGCTTTGTGGTCAGCTCAATACGACTGCTGGAAAAAACAAACTCATCAGCTTAGAACACTTGGTGGTGGTTGCTAAACCTAAGAAGCTTCTTCTAATCTATACCCTATTTCACACAAAATCCACAACTTTTTTGTTCAGTTACATGACTGTACTTCAACCTCTTTTTGGTTTAAAATGACAAGGGAGCTTAATGCCACAGAGCTTACTATGGCATCAAGGAAGTACATTCTAATATACCACTAGTTTCTGTAAAACAACACGCCAAAAAAAAACATAACATTATGAGAAATATTTACCTTGGTAATGAGGCCATGAATGAAAAACACAGGGCTCACTCAAAATGTGTGCAACAAGAGATGCTGCCATCACACTGGCACAGGAAGACCAACTCGCTGAAGGCAACTGAGAACCATCTGCATAATCAGCTATCCCTTTCACAATTAACCACTCAATTTGACAGTCAAATGCTGCTGTAAACACTCCTATAGAACAACAAAGAAAATGGCACTTGAGTTGAAGACAGTCCTACATCAATATACAGTAGTTAACATTATTTTGCAAGTCAAACTTTCCATAAATTTCTCAAACTCATTAATAATTCATTAAGAAAATACAAAGGAAATTAATGTTTAATGAGTGTTTGGAAATCGGATGAAACACTGCTTAGTATTTGCATCCTTAATTTCTCCTTCAAAAATGATTTTGTTTGAGAAGAAATATCAAACATTCGACACAGTGTTTCATCACCAGATGAAACACCTCGAAGTTCGTCAAAAATACTCCGCTGCGCGTCGTATTTTCAACTCTCTTCTCGGTGTTTCATCTGGTGATGAAACACTGCATCTCATGTTTGATATATTACATGAAAAATATTTAAAAGCTAACTGGAGTTGGAAGATGGATGAAAAGTGAGGAAGGTGTGAACTGTGGAAATATTTACAGCCTCCTTCCCAGTTGTGTTCGTTTGGATTGCAGTTATGGACAGCTTGCACCTGAATTGCTCTAGCGGACATGCTTCAGGCAGGTATTAGGATGTCTATTCATCTTCAGTGGTGAGTTCTTCAGCTTTTATTGCGAGCGAGTTTAGGGTTGGTGGTTAATGCCCTTGGGGAAACCAGGTCCTGTGACTCCACTGTTTGTGGTCCCTGTTTTTTTCTTCAAGCATCTGTAGTCTGGTTTGGGTGGGTGCCACTCCCAGGGTTGTCATGAATACACTGATATGTCCAAGGCTCGCTTATGGCTGCCTTCCATTTCACCATGCACTTTCCCCACACCCACCTATTGTCAATGGGTTTAAATGTGGCTAAATGTAATTTAGGCGAGGCTAAACATGAGACAATGCTGGCCAGCAGTCGCCATTACTAATATGTATATGGGGCGGTCTTGGGCTTTAGCATATTTTACAGTACTTTCCCTAAGTCAAGATTTCATTTTGCACATGTTGCTTTCGCATGCAGTAGCTTTAGCTCCGTTTTTGCTCCCAGCCTTCCCTTCCCTTTGGATGTTTTTTGGTAAGTATTATGAGCATTTCTCCACTGAAGGTCTCAGTGTGGTGGTGCCTGAAGGGTGCCACTCACAGGGTTGTCACAGTTACCTTCCAGGTTTGCTTGGGGTTCCCTTCAGTTTCACCAGGCACCTTCTCTACACCTACATTTATGTTTTGTCAATCGGTTTCAGGGACCGCGGAGCAAGGTGAAAAGTGGGAGGGCTGACAATTGAAAATAATTTTTCAATAAACGACCAACATACACGGTCAGTTCAGATTCAATGCAAGAAAAGACGCGATTACAATTTTAGTATAGAAAATACTACACTGAAGTGATCTGAAAAATTTCTAACTATGGCCGTTTGGGCGTTCACTGTTCAAGTAATGTAATTCTTCTTGCCATCGAATATTTCATTGATTCGAAAGGAGAAAGACAAAATATAAAACTTTTATCAACTCAAAACAACTACTCAGTTTCATTTGGCTTGAAAAAGCTTAAGTAATTTTCTTCATTTCGTCTGATAAAACTGATAAAAAAAACTCTGCCAGAGCTGGAAGTACAAAACACGCTGCCGAACGAAGCGAAGGGGTGGCCATGGCATTTGATCAAGGGGCAAGCACAGGAGCCCCACAAAATGCCTGGCATTTGAAATTAAAGAAAATACAGAGAATATAGCGGAATATAGACGGAAAAAAAACTTGTTTCACGTCTTTTTTTTATTTTATTTATTTTTCTTTTTAGCGTAAAAAGTGGGGGCGGGGGCGCAAAAGAGTGGTGGGGCCGCGGCCCTACCAGCCCCTCACCTCCGCAGTCCCTGGGTTTAATTTGCAGATATTATCAATGTCAATATAACAGCAATCTAAGCAAATGCAAATTAACCTGAAAAAAAAGGCAGCCAGGGAGGTATAAGAGGGAATTTGAACGCATGGCCTCTGCATTAGCATGACAAAAAAGCTCTAACAACTGACAATGAAGACCCACACATTGGGAGCACGAACATCTTTACAGCAAATTAAAATTAAAATTAAAATTATTAAAATCAAACAAGCAAACAATTGAATAATGCCTTAAAATAAACACTGAATTAACAAGACGCTACGGAGCATACACTTCGGCGTCGTGGTTGATTAACTGTAAATGCGGTGGAATAGTAAGAAATGAAATCTGGTAAGAGTGAGGTGTTAATTTGTGAAATTATGGGATTTGTTAGGATATTCTCAAAAGAGCAACATCCAAGAGGCCTACTTGCCAAAAACTAGCATTTCAGGACAAATTGTTGCTGAGAAATTAGCCCAGTTATGCTCAGATGACTCCATACAAATACTCCTAAATTTGACTTGGTTCTAAACGTTTAGACCTCAGTCAAATATTAGGTTGCTGGCGGTGAATAACAAGTCTAACCAAACAAACAGTGAAAAAAGAATTCTCTATTTTTCTTAGTCACATCAGGCTTCAAAAACAGCACAGCAGTCTCATGTACTAATTAAAGATAATTATGTAAGGCATGGGTAAGGAGTCAATTACGTTGAGCATGGAATTGGCTAAAACTCAGTGTTACATGTTCAAATGTTTTGAGGATAATTATTCACTGACTATCAGCAAGCAGGGATGTCAGATTAACACAAGGAAGTTTAGTACCAAAGGAAAAGAGCCTTTACAGAGCTTTAAAACACAGCATTTGCCAAGACAAACTTGACTTGAACTTAATTTAAACTAAACAGGCTCTGCCAATAATAACAAACTCTCACTTGAACTTCAGATATCTTATGGCTTCCACCAACTTGTAAACACAGAACTTGAAAATCGACCTTCATCACACTTGACTAAACACAGCAGTCCAGCTCGTGGGAAAAAACTTAGTTCGTCAAAAGAACTCGCTTGGAACTTGTATACCGTTTGACATAAGGTTTTAGAAAATACTAAACAGGCGAATAGTAGTAGCTTTTTGACATATTTTATGATTTCAGTAACTGATGCAAATCTGCTGACTCATGCTGAAATGTAAACATGTGCTAATTAATTATTCATGAATAATCCAAAAACGTAGAGAACGTTCGAGAAAGTCACGCAACGCATGAAAACAATTTTACTACGTAACACTCAACAAAGACAAAATGTCTTTGTGCAGCATTTTGTAACTTTAAATTCATCACAGAACAGTTCAAAAAGAGGGCTCACTCATGAAATGTTTTTCAACACTTGAAGAGAAATTTCATGTCTCTGCGTGACCACGTAATATCTTCTATTTATTCCTAGAGTAAATTAAAGACTAAACTCGAAGTGATCTCAAGATATCATGAAGTAGTACATGAAATAGCCGAAACAAGCCGAAAAGTCACGAACTTGCATGCCCAATCTTGTCCCGAAACTAGTGCATCATTTCATAACTATTTTTCATATCCTGAACTACCTTGGGTCGCAGTAGCGCAATTGGCTAACCCCTCAACTTAGAGTCTCCTCTGATCTGACGGGACACACAGGTGAGTCAGTTCAAACTCCGGGAAAGCCGAAATAATAATTCTTTCTTCCTCAAAAATGTTAAAGAATAAATCAAAGAAATCAAAGTGATCTCGAGAGATCTTGAACTAATTTGGCACTCACTTCGTCAAACAGCTGAATAAAACTGAAAACCTACAGACTTTGCGTGCCCAATCTTGTCAAAAAAAGTCAACTTTGATACATTCTTGAGTGTTGTGAATCCTTTACTTTGCGCTCCACCGAAGTAAACAGCAACATACACATCTACAGAGCTTTAAAAGAGACCTGACTACATACATGTACAGTAAAAACCCTTGACTAAGAACCTGGTTTTTAAGAACCTGTTGGGCTAAAATTTGCCACTTAGGCCTTCTCTATACAAGAACCTGTTCAGCCTAAAATTTAAAACAGGTTCTAATTTTCAAAATTTTTTTAAAAATTTTTTGTACACTTGGACAAACAGGATAAGTCAACATTCAGGATCCCCTTTGGAGACATGTGTCTACTGGGATGTATTCGTATGCAGATTTTCTGCAAAGAATAAGCTGAACACCCCTAAAATAAATACTCTTAGCTACAATTCGTTTTTCCTTCAGAAAATAAGAACCTATTTAAGAACCTAAATAGCCGAAATTTGTCCCTATAATTACCATTTATGTAAGAACCTATTTAGGCTAACTTGGGAAAAAGCAGGTTCTTAGTTGCGGGTTTTTTCTGTAACTTGCTAACGCTGGCTGAATACAAAGTGAACTCACCTTCTCCTTCATTTTCTATTGCCATTGCCTGAGGACTGGTTTCGGCAAGTTGATCACGCCGCCACTCAGCTCTGACTTGTTCTGGTCCACTCAGAAACTCTGCATCAGTATAAACTTGAACTTGCTGTGCTTCAGCCAAGTCTTTCAAAGGTGCATGCCAGCCATCAGCACAATTCTTAATGACATCCAGAAAGCGTTTGCTCACATAACTCCTCATGCCAGTTGACTGCTCTTGATTGTTGGTCACTACCTTTGATGCATACATTGCTAATTTGGCAGATACAACAACATCTCCTAACTTGGATTTTGCAGGGTTGAGGCCACTACATGTGCCTACAGAAATAACTGCTTTGGGTCTAAGCACAGAAGCAGCATTCTTTACAGACACAAGAGCACCGCCAGGACCAATACCATTTCTGTAACATCTTAATAAAGCAACTTTCAGCTCTTCTTGACTTTCACCCACATCAGAAAAGTAAACATAGCCAAGATTATCAAACCAACATCTATAGGGGTTTTTTAGCTCACTGTAGCAAGCTAAGAACTCACAGTTTGTAACTGTAAGTAACAAAATATCAACAGGAAGATCAGCATCTTTTGATGGTTTGGTTATTGCCTTAATGTCAGCCAAAGATGGGAGAACTTTATTAAGCTCAGGAGGGTCCCTAGTGTCATTTCTTGAAGAAGACTTGATATCAGTAGTAAGCTGGGGTGTATCGCTATCTCTACCCTCTGATGTGCTTGTTGTATCTTCCAAAGATCCTAATCAGTGCATGAAAATAAATAAACAAAGCAATTAATTAGTTACTAATAGATAATAATTTAATTTGTTTACCCAATCACACTTAGGAGCTCAGATGAACTCGTTTGAAAGTGTTAATGAGTTCCTGGTAAAATTAGAATTTAAAAGTGTTGGTTTAGTACTGTTGAGCAGGAGTGTATTATCAAGTTTAAAACTTGAGGCAAAACACAACTGCAAGTTTTTTGAACGGCTTTAAAATCTTTGACATAGATCAACTCATTCTTGCACTAGTGCGCTAGTATAAATTAGATTTGGGGTTATTCTGGTCTAAAAAATTAGACGTAGTAAAGTTTAATAGCTGTGTCTTTGTCAGATATTAAGACACTCATGAATTTTTAATGAGCTTTTGAAATCAAGGAGAAGGGAAAACCAGAGTACACAAAGAAAAACCTTGCAGAGTTGGGGACAAAACCAACAACAGCAGGAATTGAACCCAAACCACATTGGTGGGAGACAAGGTTAGTACTCTTACCTCATAATAATAATAATAATAATAATAATAATAATAATAATAATAATAATAATTATAATAATAATAATTTTTTTTTTTTTTAATTAAAGGAAAGTAATAGACAATTTTATTAAAAAACTTTTAAAATCCTATTTACAATTACTTCCCTAAAAAAAAAGAAAAAACTATTCATTCAAAAACACTATTTACAATTTCTGTCGATTTAAAAAGAACTCAATTTAGCTTAAAAAAAAGTTAATTAAAACTAAGAAAAATTTTTTCGAATTAAAAAACACTTCATTTCAATAAAAAAAAACTGTCAACCTCTAAAATTCAAAAGTTTCTTTCAACTGCTAAAAAACAAAAAAAAAATAGTAATAATAATAATGAAATAAAAAGATATATATGAAGTAAGGAAACACATCAATAGTCCGATTTAATGGCTCCTTCAGCAACTTCGACGTCGATATCAACATTCTTAATGTCACATGGCACTCTCCTGGTCCTAGAGCCTCGAAGACAAACCAACGCAGATCTCAAGAGTGCGAATGAGGTTCTGGTTCTGATCCATGAGATGGTTTTGGCATACTGCTCCCCTTTTTTGATGGCAATCAGCTGTGCTAAACGGCTATGATACTTCAAGCACTCCTTTCCCATTCCGCCAGTTGTGGTGAAGACCAAGGGTGTAAATGTTCCATGCTCGATGTCCAGGACTCTCTCTGAGTAGAGACGCTTTTTCTCGTTCTCATGGATACGATAGATTTGTTGTGGCTCTAGGTCCCTATACGATACAGCATTAGGGTGACAGACCCTCACATCGAAGAATGCTGA